ACGTGTCCTGAGGGGCGTTTTTTCATTCACAGTCGACCGATATGAACGGTGACAAATGAATCCATCTTGTCCGCGTTTTCGGGGTCAGGTCGAGAAAAACGAGTTTTCAATTGAAATCCAATATTTTATTTTTTTATTTTTTTAACCGCACACACTATCCCTCGCGACGCAAACTTTTGTCCGATAAGGGGGAAACCGACGTCAAAGATTAACTCCAATGCGTCGTTCGGTTTACGTTACGCACGTGGTGACGACAATGAAATCTATCAGATCCGTCAACGAATCTGCAGTGTTAGATAACCGTGTACAGTAATAATTATTCGATGCGGTCATTGGTGCGGTTATTTATTTTTTAAGAAAACGCGCGGTCGGAGTCCAGGGAATACGAGGAGGGACGATGCTCGTAATATTATACCCCGCATATCGTCGTAAAAACGACAAAAGAAATACGCGCGCGTAATCCTGCGCTTTATCTGAGCCGAGAGGTACGTATAGCGTGTAGGTATTTGTAAGGAATATTATTAAAAATATACGGACGGAGGGGATTTGTTGAAACATTAATTTCGATATTGAAATTTTTCTTTATTTTATTATACCGCTGTTGCGGCGGTTCCCTCTTGGCGAAACGTTGTATTGCGACCACCACAGCGACCGGTCTTTGGGTTGCCTGTGCGCTTTTAATATGATTATTATTATTATTATTATTATTATTATTATATCGATTATATTTCACAATAGATTCGACAGAACGCATAAAATGACCCATCTCGTATCACCACATACGTACACAACACGCGCACACCGTCGTCGGCGAAAGGGAAGAATGAGCAGAAGTATGGGGGTAAACACAACCATATCAGTACAGATATAGTAATATGTGGTCTACATAAATATATAGATGTACGATCGGTATAATAATAATCGTAATATATATAACGTATATAACGTATCGATAGCCTCCGGAAGGGATGGCATTTCAACGGCAGGGCTCACACACGAACGTTTTGTAGAAACAATGGACACATTCAGATACATATATCCCGTACAAAAGCACAGTGGATAGGATATGTATTTATATATATACATATACGTAGTGCTGTAGGGGTGGAAGGAGGTTAGTGGTGTATATATCGGAAACAACGGTATTAGATTAAAACACCGGTCCGATAATACTGGCCATGATGATGATGATGATGACGGCGTGATTGGATGTTTAAACGTATTTAGTGTATACGTGTGCTGGGATATCTAGATTTGTTGGCGCATTGTGTACAAAGGCTTTGCTAATTATTATGCGCGTTCGGCGTGTGCGTGTGTCCTGGACGAGGTTTACCAAAAACCTGTATGTGTGCGTGCGCGCGTACGTTACTATTATTGTTATTCCTTCGCAACAATGGACCCGAATCGCCTGCGCCCAAAAACAATACGAAAAGCCGCGCGGTGGCCAACCAGTCGTTAATGCCGCGTAATTAACCGCGATATAATCCGTCCGCCGACACCGATTGTTATTATTATTACAATATCAACTACCATAAATACGCGCGTACGTTCGATAGTAATAGTATTCTGCGCGGAGTGTGTTTATTTTGCCGGTAAAAATGTAATCGTTGTCTAGGACCGACGTGTGCGAGCAATCTGACGAGCGATTTCCGATTAAATAGGTTTTGAAGCCGGTACGAAAATGAAGCGCGTCAACGTCCGACGGTGCGGGGTCGCGTATTATGCTACTATAATAATAGTATAATGGCGATTGCTCCGAAAAAATAATCACTCTCCATTATACGTTGCGTTGTTACGGATTTATTATTTCGTTTTACGCCACCGCAAAATGTACGGAAATGTTTTTTACAATTATAATGTTGATTACAATGTCGTGTACATATTGTGTACATCAGAATCTGGGGTTTTTTTAACGTGACTGTTTAATTTTTTTTCCCCCCGCTAAAACATATTGTAAAAATAATATATTTCACTATAGACCGCGGTACGGTACCCGTGCGTGTATCGCGTAGCAGCAACACAATCCAACAGGCCTGAGAACTTTTAACCCCGAGATTTTACCGAAATTCGTTTTTAATACGACACACCGCGCGCGCACGCCAATGATCTCGCTTGTGCACAACAGTTATCCGTCGCCGCCGAGGGGAAGCGACGCATTTCGCCTTTAAAGCTTATCGTTATTGACAAAGTTTTTTTTTTTGTTCTCTACGCGTAACGATTGCGCGTAAGTTTTTTTTTTTTTGTATATTTATTTTACTCGAGCAGAAGGTTCTTTTTTTTCAACCCACCAGAGTGTTGTTTGCGAGAAATTCGAATAAAAAATGTAATTTAATGTTTGATGTTTTAGCGACATTGTTTCCTCCTCCACGCATACCCCTCGCGTCCCAATCGCGCGCACCTTACACTCCGCACACACCGCCACTGCCGCGCGCGACAACACCATAAAAATTTAGCGTCGTTAGTGTACTATGTCGTTTACTGCCACCACCCGACCACCGCCGCCCGTCCGTAAAACGAAATTGGCGTAATGGAAGTCGCATCTGGCAACCCCTTAAGACACACCGCACGCGTGCACACGCGTTGTCGTGTACATCATAAAGAAATGACGACAACGATTTCTCCGACTCGAGGGTTGCGTCGGCGGGTGAAAAAAATGTATCGTTCGTTCTATTCGTATTATTCGATTCTCGAGGATCTGTTCTCATTACGCCACGTTATAGACAGAGAGAGAGAAAGAGAGATAAAGTGAAAGTGGGAAGGATAGTGGTTGCGGTGGCGTGCAAGACGTGAAAGTCGTTTTTCATATATATTTTTTTCCACCCCCGTCTCACTCTTGCACACGTCAGCAGTGTGGTGTTTGCATCCTATCCGGGCTCCTCGTGATGAAAGATTTTTCGCGTTGTCGTTTTTTATTTGTTTCACGTTTGCCGCGTGCACCGCTTATTATTAAACGTTTCGAGAATATGTTTCGGCAACTTTATACATATATACGGGGCGCGGACATCGGCGGCAGATCGAAAACGTCATCCATCAATCTCGCCTCTGCTGAGAACCGCTGCTGCAGTGAGCAGGCTAAGGCGGTGGCGAAAAAAAGAAAACGAATATTATTACACCAACTCATGATAGCGTATATATTATATATATACGAGTACATATATTTACTACTATCCTTGCTTATCGTTATTATAATGTACGAGCGAAAAAATAAATACGACAATATAAATGCCACAGACGATATATTTGCAGTATACAATTTACGTACAGAAGGTACAATGAACGCGGTGTACGTGCGGTGTTCAGAATGTGGTCAAATACTGTCTATTTATATATTGCAACACAAACGCGTAGATCAAGAGAATATATCTCAAAAACGACGAGATGGGCGAACGTTCAAAGATGTAAAAAGAATAAAAATAATATAAAAAAAAAAAACTAGAGAAATAATAAAAAAAAAATGATGAGGAAACTAAAATGGAGAAAAAAAAAAGTTAATAACTTCTTTCGCATAAATATTTAACGAAAAAATGACTGCGGCACCGTTCATAATAGGCCTTCCCCTCTCACTCGTATTATAATCTCCGGAGACGTGTAAAACGTTTCTTTGCGCCCGGACACGACGACGTATATATAGACATTAATACGTGAATATATATGCGTGCATTTTTTTCTTTCCGCCGCCGTCCCTTATTTATGTGTGTACATTGCCGCACACCACTGCCGTAGCGCGTCGAAAGAAAATTGTTATAAATGATACACCGGCGATACGATACACCGGAGGAACTGCTGCTGCTGCAGCTTACGGCAACTATCGCCGGATATAAATTAGATCAGCCCCGGAGATGGGCTGAACAAAAATAATAACCGAAAAAACACAATATTTTTGTGCACCATGTATATACCGTACGTACAGGTATACAATGCTTTTCGAGAGCAGTAGAAAAGTTTTAGCGCGAAATTCAATTTATACGCGCGGGCGCGGGCGTCCAGACGATGCTTTCTTTTCTTCGCGTGTCTTTGTAATAATAAAATATACGTACAATATACATGCGACGGTGTATAGGTATCTTTTTTGGTCGTCGACGGTCTCGCTCACCCCCAGCCGAAAGGCGAACAAGAACTTTTGTGCGTTTCATTGAAATTTACAACCTTATTACACGGCGATGGCTGCCGCGGCGACAACGTGTGCACACAATGAGAAATCGTCGAGTGCCGATGAAATAATACTGTACATTGCACGCGATGCTACTGCGTGTATCGCCAAAGTGTAGTAGGTTGCATAGCCACATGAAAGTCGTTGCACGCTGTCGCAGACTTAAACATCTACAACGGGTTGGGTACCGACAAACGGATTTTGCGGTATTTATTTAATACTTTACTAATATGGATTCGAAAAGAAATTAACGCGCGGCCAATATAGTTAAATTAAGGATCTGCGGCGACGACCTCATATACCCGTACATATACGGCGGCAGCAATCGTGTTTGAATCGTAAATTTCGTACCCGTCTCTCGCACTCGCACACACATACCATATAATGTCTCCGTATATACAGGTATATTATAATAATATAATGAACAACTACACCACCACCATCGCCACAACTACTGCGATTATTATTCCAAATGACCCCCCCTTCACACGCGTATCTTAATAAAGTGCAGTTTTTGTACACGTATATAATCGTATGCACACGACTGCAGTACTATAATAATAACATTACAATTACGATGCGGAAAAAATTAAAAAAGAGAAAAAATAAAATAATTACTACCATCACCCGAGATATTGCTTACGCTCAGTACTATATTATATTGTATTATTAGGTCGTATTTTATAAATGGAGGAACATAATTTCCACACGCCGACCCCCGCCTTTATCGACAGTCGTGTGTATCATTTACAACGTGTATTATATGGAAATCGGTTTGTCGTTATTTTATAGCACCGAACGGTAAAGGCGTCGCGGATATAAACAATAATAATATACACAATTCTCTTACCTTTCTAGTTGTTTCATGAAGCCGGCGTACGCTTTTTCCCATATGCCCGAACTGTAAAACGAAGACAAAAAAAAATATTAAAACGTTGTAATAACACATATATTTACACGGCACTATTACAATATAACCTATGATAAACGGTCAAAAAAACGACTACGTCATTTCATTTACGCAATTTATAATGTATTATAGTGTGTATTATGCGTACATAAATATAAATGTTTGCGTGTGTAAGACATTCATTTTGTATTGCACCAGGAGTATAATTTTTTTTTTATATATATATTTTATTCCGCGTTATTTTTACACTATCAATTTAACGTTAAGTTTTATCTTTTTTTCGATAAAATATTACAACAAGCATAATATCGCAGTAATTCGTATTGAATCGTATTGGAGGTAATAACGATGTAATATGATATATGTATATTAGCGGTGACCGCGAAAATCCTACATTAGACTGTACAACAGAAGGACGATACGTGTTGGCTTGTATAAGCTGGACGCACGACTTCTGAATACAAAATTCGAATACACTCACCTGGCTAACGCTTCCATGGACAGCCCTTGGCTCTTGAGTAGCTGCGTGTCGGGCCGTGGAAGGGCGGGATGCGACAGACCGGCAGGGTTCATGATGGCATGCGTGGCCGCCGGATGGTGGTGATGGTGATGGTTGAACTGCTGCATGTACTGCATGTGTCCAAGGTGCGTGGGCGGGTGATTGTATCCGTTGGCCAGCAGTGGAGATTTTTCCATGCGAGGCGAATCTGCAACAACCGTATCTTGATTTAATAATATTTTCATCGTACGGGAGCATAATAGTAATTGTATATTTACGTACAAGGCGTGTGAAATACAATAGTAATACATGTCATATCATAATTTATATAAGTTTATGTAGAGGGTATAAAACCAATAAAGCTATCTCTGTCGTTCGGGCGACGTGGACGAACACGTAACGCACGGTGATGTTATAATATTTATCGTGAAGTACGCGGACCGCGAGAGTATTGTGCGTTTACGGTGGCGTCAGCGACGATCCGGGCACACAGAAGAATATTCGGAAAGGATGAACAAGAGTAAATAGAACATATTTAAACGGACTACTCGTCACCGTACACAATAATATTAATGGACATTCCTAATGGCATTTGGTCAGAACAGTTCATATGTAGCATACACAACTCGTTACGGTCTCTCGTACGCGGGCGTATGTTCCTACGTGTGTGTGTGTGTGACTGATGGGTTTTTGTCTTTACCGTCCGAACGTATGGAAAATATGCGCCGGCGTATACCTATTTATATGCATGTAATATTGTGTACCCGAAATATAATAAATAAACAACTCGAACTCGGTAATAACAATAATTATTGGTCTGGTGATGTGTATTTTGTTATAGATGTTGATTGGCCTTTCTCAGCGGGGTCTCCCTCGGCCGTGCACACACACGTACGAGCATGTGTAAGAATGCGTTGTACACACAGCAACGCGCACTAATGTTTTCAATTATCCGCGGGACTTTGACTAATAACACTCGACGGTGACTTTCCGCCGAAGCTGTACTGTTCTGCGAGGAGGAGAAAGGCGCACACGGTATAACCCGATGATCATCCGTCGCTGTTTGTTGCCTACTAAATGTTATTATAACGATTTGCACAATCATACACACACACACACCCGTGTGGATTGTCTGCGTTTCGAACATTCGGTTTATTCGAATAGGCTCACACAAAACTGATCGTATCGGAGAATTTTCCGTACGGTTTGGACGTAATATTTTTGTTTAAAAACAGTAACGCAAGACAACTGTTTTGTCGTAATTTTTTCGCCGTTGAAATTTCATATACACCTATGTACGTTTTAGAATTCTTTTCCGTGTTTCCTATTTTACCTTCAGCCTCCCGGTGTTGATAAATATCCAACGGTCCACAGTAATGTCCACCGGTTAACCGAATAACATCGACATTACGAGCACATTGCAATTGGAACGGCACACGCACAATATAGGATATAATTATGTACGTACAATACATATAGCACGTGCGGGCAACGCGTGCACACAGGAATACGTCGTACGTGTAATAATTACATCGATTTCGCCCAAGACGATAATATTGCGACGGCGCGTTCGCTCGACGAGTGTTGTTGCCCGCGGTTAGCGCTTAGCCGTACAATAATCGCTTAGCCTCGTACACGCGCGATTTGCCGTCATCGCGTATTACGGTTCGCGTCGAGACGCGCGTACGAAACGATAATAATAGCATACAAACACCCTGTGTACGGTATATTATTATATTCGTGTATCCCGCCACCGCCAAAGACGCGCGGATAACGGATTGTAAAATATTTGCTTCCCGAGCGAATGCGACGTTACACTGCGCACACACAATGTGTAATCAATGTTTTGTGTGCACCACCGGTACACGTACACGTTTATTTATTGTTCCCGCGATTCGCTCTCCGCGACTCGTTTAACTTTTACGGCCCGGAGGAGTGTCGAGAAGGTAATCGTTTCACGTCTACCGTTTTCGAGACGTTCGGCACTTTGGCCCTTTAATTTTAATATTAAATCTCACTTCCGATACCGGAAAATGTTAATTCGATTGGAGCTTGTACGCATTATATGTATAGCGCTTACGCGAGCGAAAAAAATAAACACGTTAATATACGAGTTTCTCGGTGTGCTTGTTACCGTATAAACACAACATGTAAATTGGATAATGCTATTTTCCATTAAAAAGTGTTTTCGTTTCACAACAATTTCCATTAATAAAATGGTGTACAGATCGTGTATATATATATTTATTAATTTTTTTTTAAAAAAAAAAGGAAGTGGGCGAGTCGTTAAGTCGAAAATGTGCAGATGGTACGCGTTTTACGTGACAACGCGCGGAATAGGAATATATAATAATGTAATAATTGATTATGGTAAAAATAAACGACAGATTATACGGTGGCGGGGAGGAGGTGTAATATAATTTATCAAAAGTCCATCACGAAAGACCTACACGCAGCAGCGCAGCGTGCAAGCTATTTTCGGACTACGCGTTGCGGCGTGTACAGAGAAAGAAATAATGAAAATGTATAGGGAGTAGAGGACAGTGACGAGAAGCTGTGCTGGAAAACACGGGTCGCGGCGATCATTTGAAGTGTGAAAACCTTTCGGACGGTAATTATAATATAGCGGTGGAGGTGGAAACAAAAAAACCTTAGGCTTAAATTAGCCGTTTTGGGTGCCGGCGCTAATGATAAAACACGCAGCCCGGGGATGTCTGCAAAGCCCCCGGGCGCAATCCATCATCGCCGCCGTCGTCGTCGTCGTCGTCGTCTTCGTCATCGTTGTAGCCGTAGTTACCTCTGCTAGGGGAGGTGACGACCCGCAGGGCCAGGATGGAAATTAAGACCTAGCAAATATATGTGTACGTGAGCGTGTGTGCGTGTGTGTATGTATGCAGTGTGCATGCGTGCGAGCGTGTGTGTTTGTTTGTCTTGGAACCAAAAAGAAACAATATGCTAAAATTAAAATCCTCCCCACCGCGGGTTTTCGGAATATATAATAATAAAAAAACAACCGTGTACACAATATGCAGAATTACGTACTTAAATATATATATATAATAATATTAGTATACACGCCCAGGGCCTGTGTGTGAGTGTGTGTTCACCGCTGACAGTCGAAGAGGAACGGAGAAAAAGCGGAGCGTGCGAGCGCGCGGGATGATTGATTACACTCGGCGGTATATAGTTGCGCAGTGTGCCCCGTGTAACCGTTTCTTGGCTTTAAGTGACGGCGGCAGCGCATAGGGATCCCTTTACTCTTGTTCGACCGTATATATACGTTTCGACTCGTTTAAATTGAAATTAATTTGCACTCTCTTTTACTCTCACTGCTGCACGTACACGTATAGCATTATGGTATACATATACCGTCGAATTAGCATACGATACATCAAGAGAAAAAAAATATCGTCCTGAGGTCAGGGGAAGTTTTTTTTATTATTCTGCACTTGGTGGTGGGCAAGGGGACGAATGGTAGGGAAGAAAACCCGGCTGACAGTGAATCATGACTCGCCGATGAGTAGCATCTGCGATTGAAACGTAAAAACGAAGGTTCAATTTCACAGATGAAAGCTTCTCGTCTTTTTATGCACACGCACAAACGAACGATGATTTATATGATGGGCCCCTCGTATCGTGTCTGCTGAAAGGGTTCACGCGGTTTTTGTAGCGAATTCGTTACCGCACCAACCGAGGTTTAAGCTTGCATACAAACTATACTGGATAATATTATCGATATTGATACACTTTCGTTTTGAAAGCTATACATATTATATTTGCAGAACGTTACCCGCATGTACTTTTATTGCGTTCACTTCAGATATCAACACCGGACGTTATTATCATTATGCAATTCCCTCGACACTAATAAAATATATATAAGTGGTTAACCGTTATAAGTCGTGTTTGGGCGCACGCGCTCTCTCTCTTTCTCTCTCTCTCTTGACCACCTGCCTGCCACAGTACGCGTAGACTTTACCTACCCCTTATAATCCGAACAAATGAACGACCGGCTACTATTAAAACGCTATATGAGATTTATATATATGCGCCCTAAGCGCATAACATAAAATAAACTTGTTGTACATATTCGCTGACATACATACACTGCATACACTGCATATTTAATAAACAGAAATTCATCAAGTCAAAGTATCTACTCGAGATCACAACCGACCGCACATACTATATAATATATAGAGTTATATATCGGTGATATGTATAATATGATCCTGTAGATCAGGTCCTAAATCCAAACGCAGAGGAAGATAAACGACTGCGAATCCCACGAGGAAACTACCGTTTGTGCGAGTACTTGTTTTGGGTTGTCGGATTTTTTTTTTCCGTTTGTTAAAAATCGTTGACGTTTCGCACGATCGCGGTCGTCGTCGCATCGATCAAACGCATAATTAAAAAAAATAATACAAGCCACATCAAAAGACGGGCCACCACGTCACTTCCGAAACAAACCGTTCGATCATTCCGAATTTCACGGAGAGGTTGCGCGCGTCGTATAGGGGAGAGAAGATGCGGAATATTTTTGACAAATGCGGTCCGGGGATTAAGCATAAAATATTCAACGGCACGGACGACACACCACCTCGAACCTATAACGTAGTGTGTATGTGTATATAAGCGCACCGCGTCTTCTGCAATAACAATAATAATAATCATAATCATAACTGTGTGCGGTCGATTGGAGGAGAGGCGAGGCGGTAACTGTGGTAACCACGTGGTCTCCAGAGTCGCGGGGTGCGTTTATCGCGCGGTCGTCATCGCACAGCGTGATGGATGATGCTGACGGATTTTCTTTGCATAAATACCGCCGCCGCCGCTGATGAAAATTGCTGCCCGGTGGGTTTTTATCGTCCGGTCACTTGCCGGGACACGTTTACACACACATATATTATAATAAAAGTACAATGCGTTTTTCTCAACAAAAACCCTTTTCCGCTGTACATCCGAAATCGTAACAAATACTTATACAATGCGTTACACACATACATATCAAGGAATCTGTTAACACATACGTATATGATACGGTCGAAACACGACGCAAAGAGTGGAAAAGTTCACAAAAGATCGGTGCGGTATAGCGCGTGCGCGGAGCGCATAAATCATCGTTAGTTTCTAATTAAATATAGTCTTGCAACAATGGTATATTATATGTGTGTATATACGCCGTACACGAAAAACAAAAGGAGATAA